AAATTCGAATTTATTTTCATATATATTTTCATAGTACCGATCAAGTAAGGCTAATTGGTCATGTGACTTCAGAGTAGTAGGAGATGAATTAAAATGTTTACTTAAGTTAGGTGGTATAATAGGACTGGCTTTTTTTCTAAGAATTTCTAAGGATCTAAGAGTGTTCCAGGTGGTCTTGGAATTCTTTTCTCTAAGAATAAAGTTTAAATAAGCCTTTTTTTCTCGTCGAATTGCTCCAGTAGTAAAATTCCTTAGGTCGGTATAGCTAGTCCAATTTACTGCAGTCTTATCTTTTTTATATTTTTTTAAAGCTTTGTCTCTTAACGAAATCATTACTTTTATATTATAAGTAATCCAAGGGGTATGCGGTTTCGTAACTTTTTTTCTTACTAAAGGAGCATATACAGAGAAAAGCTGGATTAAGGAATTATTCAGATGGGAAATCATATGTTCAACGTAAATTATGTCCCAATTTACGGAACCTAATTCAGCATTAAAAAGATTAATATCAAATCGTGAAAAGTCACGATAGGTTATATACTTAGCTTTCTTTTCTAAAGTGATTGACTCTATGTTGCAAAGAACAGCTTGATGATATGACAAGCCACGGCCTCTGACATCTAATACCTCAACACATGTTGTTTGATGGACTTCTGACACAAATATCTAAGACACAAAATCATGTATCTGATAAAGAAGTAGACGCTATAAAAAGATTAAAGTCAAAAATGACAAATGGACCTGATTATATTCCTTCCTTCTTCATTAAAGATTGCGCACACATTCTTTCAACCCCACTGTATACTATTTTTAATTTAATATTAAAAACAGCCATGTTTCCTGATCTATGGAAATTATCTCGCGTTACACCAGTTTATAAAAAGGGAACCAAAGATGATCTTGACAACAATAGACCTGTTAGCATACTTTCTCCAAAGTATTTGAAATCATTCATACATACTTATCTAGACATCTTTCGGGTTCATTATCGCAACACGGATTTATGAAGGGTAGGTCCACTGTGTCGAATCTTGTGTGCAAAACACAATTTTTGGCAGAGGCTTCAGATAGAAGAAGTCAGGTCGATGTTATCTATACCGACTTTTCTAAGGCATTCGATAGAATTGATCATCAAATCCTATTACAAAAATTAAAGTCTAAGGGAGTATCTGATCTTCTTTTTTTACTTATCGATTCTTACTTAGAAAATAGACGTCAGTACGTGCAACACCAAGGATTTAGATCAAACCATTTTAAGCAAATTTCAGGTGTACCGCAGGGTTCGGTCTTTGGGCCCCTTTTTTTCATAGTTTTTATTGATGACATTATTGGCAAAAGCACAGAAGTAAAATACTTAGTGTATGCTGATGATTTAAAAATGTTTGCTGAAATACGGAACTTTGTTGATTGCACAGCTTTACAAAGTTGTTTAGCTGACTTATTGCTATGGTGTACTAAAAATTATTTGCATTTGAATCCTGGTAAATGTAGTGTTATGACATATACTAGGAAAAAATCATATTTCACCTTTGATTATTAGATCAATGGCACTGTGTTAAGTAAGCCGGAGTTTATAAAGAATCTGGGAGTCCATTTTGACAGGGAATTAACTTTTGCAAGGCATATTAAGCCGACAGTTATGTGTTCTTCACGGAGTCTTGGTTTTGTAATTCGAAATTCCAAACAATTTAAAAATATACATACAATGAAGTTATTATATACTAGTTTTGTTAGATTTAGACTTGAGTATGCGTCAGTTGTATGGAATCCATCACTTAACATTTATAATAGCGCTATTGAAAATGTGCAAAGAACATTTATGAAGTCCGCATCATATCTTCTAGACAATATCTATCCTGCTAAAGTATTTCCTCATGATCAACTGTTGTTGCGCTTTGGTTTAAGGGAACAGCACATACGCCGTAAAATGCAGCTAGTTTCATTCCTATGGGATATTTTACATGAAGGGCTAAACTGCATTGAGTTATATTATATCAACATTAAAGTACCTCACCCTGGCCTTAGAATATACTTAAGCTTTCACTTTCCAGCTGCAAATACAAATATTTTGAACGGTTCTCCAATTTTTCAAATGATCAATAATTATCATCGCCTTCAGGAGAGTTTGGATATTTTTAGTTGTAGAAAATAGATATTTTTAGAGCTATTACCATAGAAACTGAGTAGGTGTTTATCCTGCTTGGTAAGTTGATAATATATCTTTTGTGTGTATTTATTTTATTTTAATTTAACTTTTTAATTTTTTTAAATTTGTTTTATGCTCCTTTAAGAACTTAAATATAACTGAATATTTTACCTTCAGTTTTCCTTAAAAATAGGCTTTTTTGTATTTCTTGTTTCATGTTCAGTCATAGTTGATGTCCTTAACTCGTTTGTGATGTATGTATATCATTAGTATATTGTATTTGTTTTTAATTTATGTTCATCCCACTCTTTAATTGGTTTTTAACTGTTTAGTGGTGTACTAAATAAATAAATAAAAATATTTATGCGCGACGAGTAACATCAGTCTTTTGCTGATATGCACATGTTCCTATTATGTCTTGTTCAACTCCTGTAAAATATATTTTCCGTACCTGTGTATGGATTTATGTAATCTTTTTAGTTGGTACTTCTTTTCACGTGGTGCTTCATCTTTCTATAAAGTTTTTCACCAATTACCGTTTCTTCTTCCCCTTTTCTTCTTTTTATTATTTTTTGCTTCCCATTTTATATCATTTCACCCTGCCTTGTATATCCTTTGATGATGTTCCTACAAACTTCACTTTTTTTTCTCAATAGATTCTATTAATAGACGACTACGTTAAATATATGTTCACGTACTTCCGCTGGATTTCCAAGGACTTGCACTGGTACTTCATGGACTTCCACTGAAATTTCAAAGACTTTTACTATAATTTAAAAAACTTTCAGAGAATTGCAATGAAATTCCATCAATTTGTACACCATAATTCCAAGGTTGCTTACCCCTCGGGCCAGATCGTCATATTTTGCTCTTAGGAATTTGTGCTAGTATTTTATACAAGCCTTTTAGAGACACTGTAGATTTTTTCATGTATACCCTTAGGTAGAAATAAAATAATATAACCTACACATTTTTTATTGCTTATTAAAATCGTTTTGTCGGAAGGAAAACTCATATAAGTTTGAAAACAAAATTTCCGCATACCGAACGAAATAATCTTGTTTGGAAACATGGCGCGGTCGAACAAAAAGTCCAAAATTCCCCAGACAACAATTAAACTTACAAAATACGCCCTAATTACTACGTTAACAACACAACGCTACCACTCGAAAAAAAAAACAAAAATAAAAGCGACTCGCTAATTCCCCAACCTACTCACTTAATTTCATTTTAAACAATCGTTCGCGATGGCAAAGCAGTTAGCATTATCTAGTCGGCCGTTATAATTAATATCCAGTAATCCGGACGAAGTAAATTTTCACAACGAAAACAGAAGAAAAAAACACAAAAATAAAGTTCCAGGCGATGGCACGGAGTTCCTGAAACGCGGGACACATTCAAATGGCATCAAATGCCAGGAGTTACTGAATTAATGATAGAGGTGGAAACCCTTTATTTCAATCGCCAGGGTAATTCTACTGTTGGAGCTGTGTGCCGTGAAATTTATTGATACTAATGGATGAAAATTTTAAACGAATCTCTAGTTACGAACGTCTAGTAGAAACTGAGGAATTCGGGGACAGCGAGTCTAAAAATTCCGTTTTACATGCAATTTGTAGGAAAAGTTCATCAAATATTTTACATTTTAAAAGGATCCCAAGTTTTCTTGATAGTTTTTATTTCAAAATTTATATGTCTTATAAATATAAGAAAACTGTCTAGGGATAAAATATTAAGGTACCTTTGGATATTAAAGTTAAACTTTGTACAGGGTAGGAGAGCATTTAATTCCATAGAACACTGTAATGTATGACGAAAATAAATATGCAAAAACTATACATATGACGGTCTTTTTGAATATAGGGTGGCTATGAAAATCAAGCATCCCTCACTCTGTGTAGAAAAAACTGTCAAATTTATTCTTGTTCTCAACCATTATTGCAGATTCTTATAAAGGGTTGACAAATGAAAACAGCCTTTAATAAATTGTGAAAATTAATGTTTTCTACATACACATGGTCCACAAAGTACAGAATAAATATGCAAGCCAGTAAAGTCATATTTCAATTAAACAGTGGCGCATCCAGAGTTTAAGTTTGGGGGAGGTGTAGTGAAAATATTGACTTTATTTCTGATATAATTTAAAAACAAAACAAACAAAAAACATATAATATAAGTAAATTTAAAAAAAACAACTGTTACATGTATAATAAATATTAAACACATTTTAAAAACATTAATAACACGTAAGCTTATAAATGAAAACATAACAAAAACAAATAAAAATATTTTCTTGGGCATAACATACTCGCATGACCAGAAAACATGAAATGAAAAAAATTATAAAGTAAAATCAAGTCGTCTATTTTTATTTTTTGCAAATCTATTTATAATATGGTCTACATTTACTTGAATGTCTCTGTGTATAAACAGAAGTGATAGCCCAACTAATCTATCCTGACCCATTGTTGAACGAAGCCAGGTTTTAAGGCGCCGCAGAGAGGAGAAGCTTCTTTCAGCTGAAGCTACACTAACGGGTAGAGTGACCAAAACTTGTAGGCATTTTTTTAATAAAAGAAATATATTTTCATCGCAAGACGAATATAAACCGATACCATCTGTATCGCTTTTTTTACGCTTCTCCAAATACTGAATTCAGATTTTAATTTTAAAACTATTAAATCTCTGTTTTGGTTATTTTCAAATTTGCTTATATATTCCGCAACTACTTCAATCGACTGACTAATTTCAGTATCCGTTTTTGAATTGAAAATGGAAGGAAAAAATATATTGAACTCGTAGGTATTCAAAGATTCCTCGTTAAAACGAAATTGGAGATCTTGCAATATATTATCTAACAAAGGAATAAGTCTAAAATAAGATTATTTTCTGGAGATATATTGGGGCGATGCATTTGTCTCTGAGTAACTCTTGGTTTGATAATTTCTAAATCTATTTTTTTATGAATATCTGACACTAAAGTAAAAATGGTTCTAAAATAAGTTTGGGAATTTCGACGTCTTTCTTTTAAAATGGTGATAACATTTTGTATAAGCGTAGTAACATAGTGTTTATCAATTGACTTCTTTTGCAATATTTTACTTAAATTTACAGTCAAAGCTAAAATATCAGACAGAGAGCATAAAGAAACTATAGAAACGGTGGAACCTATAGCATTTTTTAAACATTCTGCTTTTAAAGAGGCGCAGGCGTCCCGATCCTTCCAGTGGGAAATAATATCAAGAAGGTCTTCAATGATTTGAATAGTACTTTGAAACTGAAGCACATATTCGTGACGTTTAATCCATCTGGTCTCACAAAGACTTTTAAGCTGACTATGGCCATCTAACTTTTGCTTAAGAAGAAAATTTCTTTTTGCGGAAGCTTTAAAAAATGCATTTACCTCTTTTATAACGCCAACGGCATTTCTAACACATTGAACGTTTGAGCTTTTTGAAATAGATAAATTTAATGAGTGGCTGGCACAAGGACTTTTAAGTGCATTAGTTATTTTTTTTTTTAATTTAGTAACGGCTCCTTTTTGTCCACCAAGCATTGAGTTGCAAGTATCAGTTCCAATTCCTATACACTTATCGGGATAAAATTAAATAAGATTTGACCTAAAATTTTACCACTAACTGTTGGTTCTAAGTTGTCATCATCAAACATTGCGTGACAATCAATAAAACCTACGAAATCTTCGTACAGACAATTTTTGTAACAGTATCTTAAGATTATTGACATTTGTGACTTATGACTTATGTCCGTGGTTTCGTCAAATATTATACTATAAAATTGACTTTTATTTACTCGTTGTAAAATGGTTTCTAAAATCTCCTCACCACAGAATTCAATTATTTGATTTTACTAAAATTTTTTAATTTTTATTAAACTACTACATAGTTCAGTAATAATTATTTTAATTTTGTCTTTGTTATGTCCTATTTTCTTAATATTACAATCATTGTGTGTACTACGTTGTAGACTTTAAGTTCCCAACACAGTTGTTTCGTAAGAGGCGAATAAAAGTGTCTCTAGTAACGTTGTTTCTGTATAGTATGGATCTTTGTTCTACAAATCCTTTCTGTTCTTCTACTAGGGCCTCTGAATCATGGTCTAATCACAATCACAGTCTATCACTTTTCAAGCGTATGGCATAATATCAGAGCCTGGTCAGAACCCTTCTCTCTCATCTTCAATAGTAGTTCTCCCAACAAACTATATACTATGACCTTTACCATTTTGAGTTGTTAATAACGGGAGATCCCAAAATAGTCCTAACCCTAAACAGTTCATTTAAAAGACAACATGGTTCTGTTTCCGTTCTAAGGACTCCAGATTCATCAATCGCTTTTCTCTGCCTTGTGTCATTCATTATTGTCGATTGACTTTCACTCCATGACTGTAATTTTTTCGTCTATACTAACGATTTATTTTTAAAATGAAAAAAAAGTTAGAAAGATGAATAAGTTATATTTGCATTTCCATGTCCACTTTCAATATCAATATTATTAACACATTTAATGTTTTCTTTCGGAAGCATCTGCTAAGTTTAATTTGCTATTTTATTCAATTATTTTGTAAATCCATTTATATTTCTTTTCATTCTTTTATTTATCATTGATTTAATTTATATTTTCATTCCTCACTTCGTGTTTTGTATGTACACCAATTTTAATCTGACCGACTATTGTAAATGGGTCAGGATTAACCATCGTAATTTTAATTGTATCGACCCGAGAGCAAGGGATGTTGTATTTAATTATTTAAAATTTCACAAAGTTTAATAGTTTGTTATCATGCTTTTATTTTGCTAAATATGTAAAGTTTGTTCTATAGTTATAACTACTAATGATCGTTGCAATCAAAGCTCTTATACGTATATCTTAAATTTCCTAAAATATTTTTAGTTTTTATGTTTAAAAATCATTATATAATTTTAATATTCTTATAAATATGTTAAATTGTAACCTTTTCTGGGGTTAAAATTTTCTTCCGCCTCTACTTCAGAACGGGCCTGAATGGAAATGCGAGCCTACGGAGCCAGTCGTCATGGTTAGGGCCCCTTCGGGATCCGTCGAACAGATTGCTATTTAGGCCTTCTAGCAGTCGACGGAGTAAAAGTGAGACTTTTCAAGTAGAGATATTCTCTTACTAACCGTTAATTGTGCCGCTCTAATTAGAGTTATTGCGTACTTTCGCCATTTTTGGTCTTATCAGGACTTTACCGGTTCACAAAAAGTTTCAGGTTATTATTGTAGAAAATTGGCGCGTTTTCCTTTTTGCTTGGTAATTTGGGAAAATTTACCGTTTGGTTTAAATGGGCACTACGGGGAGTTAGAGAGGCGTAAAACCTAATTCAGTTTAATCGTAATAAAGGTTTTTTGTGGGTTTCAATTTGTATAACTAGCCTAAAGTTAACCAAAACAACCGCAATTTTTAATATTGTGTTTCTGTGACTTAGTGTCCGCTAGTTGTACAAGACGATTTTCAAGGGGTGAACCTGCCTCTAAGCTTTCCAGAAAGTCTGAATTTTATATTTAGGAATTAGTAACTCGGCTCTCCCAAAGGTAACTATAGTAACTATTATTAATTAGTCTAATAGGACAATGACCGGTTTAATAATACATTTTTTGTGGGGTGAAAATTCACGTTATGAACGCCTTCCGCGTACGGTAGGTAGTGTAGGGCTCGCCACACGCGTTGTGGCATTTCATCAGGGTGGGGCTTCCGTTAACTTTGTTAACTTTTCATTTGACCTATGGTTTTATGCTCTCTTTCTTCCTTCTCTTTGTCTTTCATTATGTCTCTTATGTATCTGTGAATCTTTCCATAGTTTTCCTTACACTTCATCATCTCTCGCACCATGTTCTCCTCGTTTATCTCTTCGCCGATTTGCACAACCAGTTCGTTTCTTGTCTGTGCCCATCTAACACATCTGTACAGTGTATGAGAGATGCTGTCTATCTCTCCGCAGTATATACATTCGTCGTCGTCTGTTTTTCCTATCCGGTAGGTGAAGGCTCTGAAGGATCCATGTCCGCTTAGGGCTTGCGTGAGGTAGTAGTCTGTTTTTACGAAATGGACATTTAGTCCATTTTATGACGTCTGGTATTAGCCTTTTTGTCCACTGTGCCACGTTTTCCGTCATTACCCATTCACTTTGCCACCTGTTCATCGATATTTCTCTATTTTCCTTTTTTGCGGGGTTCGTTGTTTCATATTCTCTTTGGTGCAAACGCCTTCTTTCGTCTATTTTGATGGTAATAGGGATAATTCCGGCTCTAGCTTGTACTGCCTTGCTAGAGATTGTTCTGTATGCGCTAATTATCCTTAATAGTGCTTTTCTTTGTGCACCGGTCAGTAGGTTTTGGTATTTTTGGATTTTTGTGGCTCCGTGCCATATTGGTGCCGAATGTGCCCTGCTGGTCTAACATGACTCCAAGATATTTATATAATGGCTCTTTTTGGTTCTATACGTGCTTTTCCCAGTTTAAAATTTATCTGGTTTTTGCCTTTTCTCCTGGACTTTAGGAGTACTGCTTCCGTCTTTTCCGGTGCTAGTTCGAGGTCGTTTTCATCTATCCATTTTTGGATGGTTTCCAGTGCATCATTGGCTTTATCTATTAGATTTTGCGGTCTGTTTGCACATGCTATGATAGCCAGGTCGTCTGCGTATGCTATGGCCTTGACTCTCCTGCCATGCTTAGCCGTAGGATTCTGTCGTACAGTTCGTTCCACAGGGTCGATCCCAGGACAGAGCCCTGTGGAACCCCGGCCGTTACCTGCATTTCTTGTCCCTCTTAGACTATTATTTTTCGATCCGTCAGGTAGTCTTTGATGATGTTTCTTAGGTATTTCGAGATCTCTAGTTTTTCCAGATTTTCCAGAAGTTTTGGCCACGTGCTAGCAGCTTTTTCATTATATATAGCAGCCATTTGCCAAATTTTTGGGTTACAATCCTATATGCATCTCCCCAGACGTCTTCCTCCAGCTCGTCCCTTAGTTTACTCCACTGTTTTTGTTTAGAGTCCTTTTCTTTTGGTTTTTAGGTCAGCTAATATTTGCGTTTGTTCCCTTATGTTTATTGTTTGTATTTTCCTTGTTAGTACCCTCCTGCCTTTGTTGAACTCTTTTCTTTTGTTTTCTATGTCCTCGTCCCACCAGTACGGATTTGATCTTTCTGAATTTCCTCTTTTTTCTGATCCTCTGTATGCTTCTTTGATAGCTCTAGTTTGGGTGTTTATGCTGTCGTCGCGTCGGTTCCAATTTGCGCAATATTCCACAGTAGGAGTTCCTCGAACAGTTCCTTATCTGCGATTCTTTTGCGAGGCTGTACGTATCTGGATTTTTAGGTAGGGTCTCTTATCTCGAAGTAAATGTAGGCATGTTCAGTTGCCGAGTCCAGGTCCAAGACTTCCCATTTTTGGATTATTCTTGATAAGTTGGCAGTGGATAGCGTGACGTCTATGTAGGACTTTGATAGGCCTCTTACGAAAGTTGGCTTGTCGCTATTGTTGTGGACTGTAATGTTCATGGCGTCAATAAGATCGTCTTGTCTGTGACTGGGGATCCCCATTTTGCCGACTTCGTGTTCATGTCTCCAGCTATGATGAATTCCTTGTTTGAGGTCTTGGCCCTCTCAAAAATATGTTCCACTTTTTCCTCATAGTCCTGTTGGGATATTTTTAATAATACTAATAGTAATAATGATATAACAACCCAAAATAAGGTAAAACTGGCATGGGTATCAGGTCATAAAAATATCCAAGAAAATGGGATCAGAGCTACCATTCTCAAGACCTGAACTATAAGTTCACTGGCGACAGATAAGAGCAGACAGATTCAGTAAGCTTGTGCTATGGAGACCAAACCTATGCGTGGCTGCTGAAGTACGATTGCTAGCAAGGCCCAAGATATCCATTATTATGGGATTACTAACGACATATTGCTTGCTGAAACACCTTCATGCGATGGGACTACACAATGATTCACCACGTGTAGGATTTGCTTGGAAGAGGCCACAGTATTCTGGACTAAATCTACTTATAACCGACAAAGATACATATAATGCAAATTAGTAACCAAAATCGGTAATCTGGGGATGATTTGGACTGCAATTTTAAACGCAACTTGCTCTGATATGGTATGGCTCGTCGAAGATGGTGGTAAATGTATACTATTTATCGAATCAGATATATTCAGTGGTATAACTAGACGCCACAAAATGGGTGAGATTGCTTCCTTACAGTAATGGAGTTATTGCATATGTACTTGGACTCCTAATAAATCATTCATATCAAAAAATACATCTTAAAACAATTTGCTTGGTTAGTAGTTACCACAATAGATTATTCTTAGAATCGTAGGTACCTGTGTGCCACAGTTTTGATCTATGATACATCTTAAATATCAGATAGTTGTTTAAGTAAATCTAACGTCTTGTAGAGAGTATAAGGTCCATATCATGTAGACATTTCTGGCCAAGACCTCTGAAGCAAGATGGTACAGAATTTGAATACGTATAGTGTCACATGCGAAGAAAATGTGTGACTAAAACGTTAAGTCTAGTAATACTAAAAAAATTGATTTAAAATTATACGCAATCCAATTTCTTGGGAACGTTGTGAATCAAAAGATCATGTGTTCACGATGCGAAACAAAACACT